TGGGTCTCCTGATGCCCTTCCCAGTGCAAAAATGGGAGGGGTTTGCTCAGTTTTAGCAGCTGCCTGTGCTGGGGCAGGGGCTGAGCCCCAGCTGGGTGTGTTTTGGGAATTGAGGTGGGGTTTGTATGCTGGGTGCCTGCACTGTCTGTGGCTGCCCTCTGGGACCATCCTGCCCCACATGGCTGTGCCCCATCGAGGGGCTCTCCCCGCCCAGCAGCCCCATCCTGAGCAGAACCTGGGGGTCCGGGGTTAAGCACTGTCCCAACGGCAGGGCCATGCTGCGGGACTTCGTGGGGAACCTGCCACCCCAGCGCCTGCTGAAGCAGAAGTTGCAGTCCCTGACCCACATCGCCAGCAGCAGAGTCTTCCAGTCCCACGGTGAGAGGGGGCATGAGGGGTCCTGGTGACACAGCCCTTGCTGAGCTCACCTGCGGGCTGTGGCACAGAATGGGGACAATTCCCTGCACAGGCACACCTCCTCTGGCCCATGCCTGTGGTGTCTCCACAGAGGGGGGGCAAGTGCCTCATCTTTGTGCCCCCCTCTCCCCCTCAGAGTGCCGGGAACTGATGCTGCAGGCGGCCCTGCCCATCCTGCAGGAGCTGATCCAGGCAGGTGAGGAGGAGGATGCCTGCATCGAGCTGCTCAGCAGCATCCTGGAGGTGCTGTACCAGGCCCAGAAGGTAACTCGGGAATTGTCTGGCCAGTGACCTGACCAAATCCCTCTGAGTGGGGTTAAGCACAAATTCCTGGCCACGATATAGTCGGAGCTGACCGTAGTCATACAGAGGACTGCCATCCCAGCAGGAACCTGCCCAGGATGGGGCAAAAACCTGCTGGTTTCCACCTCAGCGTCTCCAGTGGGTTCCCCTCCATTCCCATGAGTCAGGAAGGGGCTGCCAAGCTCAGGGACTGCACTGACCTGAGGATGGGGGGACATTGCTGGCTCTGCAGAGCTGGGAGAAAGGCAAGGGGAGGGGGGAAGGTGAGGCCAGGGAGGAGGTGAGGGCAGGGAGGAAGAAGATGTGGGTGCCTGCCCACCCAAATGTGGCCCATCCGGGGGGGCTGGGCGGGCCGGGGCCGTCCCTGCAGGGTCTCAGTCCAGCTCCCGGGGCGCTGTGATTGCAGAGCGCGGAGGAGCTGCGAGCACGGGACAAGGGCCGCGGGGACGTGGAGCTGGTGAGTGTCCCTCCAGCAGCCTCAGCATGTGGTTGATGGCAGGAAGGGTCCAGGTGACCCTGAGCCTTTGGGAAGGGCTTGTCTGCATCTGGCTGTGGTGACAAACCCTGCGTGGTCACCTGAGTCCCCCCGGGTGGGGAATGTCTCTGCATGCCCAGATTTTGGCAGCTGTCCTCCTCTCCCTGTACTTCCTGGGGCTGCCGTCCATCCCTGCCTTCCTGCAGCCACGTCGGCCGTGTCCCTGCCCCTGGTGAGCCCATCATTGTCCCTGCCTGCCAGCCCAGCCCTCCTACAGCCGGGTCGGGTGATGGGACATCGTGTGGCTACTTCTGGCAGTGCCATTCCCAGCACTTTGGGAACGTGCAGGGCTCAGTGCTCGCAGGACCCTTCCTCTGATCCCGTCCTTCCCGGCTGCTCTGTGCTCTGGAGTCCCTTTCAGGGACCCCTGGGAGATGACACAGATCTCACACCTGAAGCGCAGTGACTGGTGTTGTGGGAACCGAGGTGAACATTTGCACCGTGTCCTGGGAGGGCGTGGTGGCTGTTTGACCCCCACGGCACTGGGAAGCCAAGGAGTGGGAGGGAAAGCTCAGAAGTTGTGGTGAAATGTCTCATTTTGGGCTTAACTTTCAAATCTAAAATAGCCTTTATGAAGAGGGTGGTGGGACTCTCTCAGGGGAGGATTCTGCAGTCACTTCAACCCCATGTGAGCTGAACCCACCTTTGCCTGCTCAGTGCCAATGCGGCCGTCCCTGTGACTCCCAGCCGTCCCCAGCTGTCCCCATGGTCCCCAGCCAGGTGGCCACTTTGCCAGGAGGTGTATGGGGCTGAGCTGCACAGAAGTCCCGAGTCCTGTGTTTACACCAGAGCACATTGCTGTGCTCTGACTCCGACCCCGGATCAGACCCCGTTCCCATCTTGCCACCCTGATGCCACCAGCCTTTGCATGGGGATCAAATGAGCTGTGCTGTGCCATACTGTGCCCCGCAGCTGGGATGTGCCCCACAGCTGGGATGTGCCCTGTAGCTGGGATGTGCCCCACAGCTGGGATGTGCCCCACAGCTGGGATGTGCCCTGCAACTGGGATGTGCCCCACAGCTGGGATGTGTCATGCAGGTGGGATGTGTCCCACAGCTGGGATGTGCCCTGTAGCTGGGATGTGCCCTGCAACTGGGATGTGCCCCACAGCTGGGATGTGCCCTGTAGCTGGGATGTGTCCCGCAGCTGGGATGTGCCCTGTAGCTGGGATGTGCCCTGCAACTGGGATGTGCCCCACAGCTGGGATGTGCCCTGTAGCTGGGATGTGTCCCGCAGCTGGGATGTGCCCTGCAGGTGGGATGTGCCCCACAGCTGGGATGTGCCCTGCAGCTGGGATGTGCCCTGTAGCTGGGATGTGCCCCGCAGCTGGGATGTGCCCCACAGCTGGGATGTGCCCCACAGCTGGGATGTGTCATGCAGGTGGGATGTGCCCCACAGCTGGGATGTGTCATGCAGCTGGGATGTGCCCCACAGCTGGGATGTGTCATGCAGGTGGGATGTGCCCCACAGCTGGGATGTGTCCCACAGCTGGGATGTGTCCCGCAGCTGGGATGTGCCCTGCAGGTGGGATGTGCCCTGCAGGTGGGATGTGTCCCGCAGCTGGGATGTGCCCTGCAGGTGGGATGTGTCCCGCAGCTGGGATGTGTCCCGCAGCTGGGATGTGCCCTGCAGGTGGGATGTGCCCTGCAGGTGGGACATGCCCTGGCATGGCCCTGACACCTCTTACCTTGCAGGTGTGGGTGAAGAAGCACATCCAGGTGATCCTGGAGCGGCTGCTGCACACAGTCACACGCAGGGTGATCGTCCTGGACCGGGAGAACCCACTGAGGGTGAGTCCCACTGCGCCGTGGCCACACCACTTCCCTTTGGGCCGTGTGGGAGAGGAACGAGGTGTCGCTGGTTTGGGGGTCTGGTGCAGGTGACCGGCACTGCTCCTTGCTGGCTCTGCCAGTGGTACCCAGTGGGATGGGGCTGGATGTCAGGGATGTGCCCAGTGGAATGCAGGGGAAAGCAGGAGCCATGCTGGGAGCAGGGCTGCAGCAGGGTGTGTTGGGCTGGGGCTGGATGTAGGGGGGTGTACCACAGCGGGATAAAGGAGGAAACCAGAGCTGTGACAGAAGCAGGGCTGGAGCAGCAGGGGCATTGGGAAGAGTGGTCAGGGGTCAGAGGTGCAGGAAGCCCATTTTGGAAGCAATGAGGGGTTTGGACTGCATTCCCTGGAAAACAAGTAACGGACCTGGTGAACCATCACAGTTTTACACGCCAAGAACATGTGTGAGGAACGTGCCAGGGCACATGGGAGGGGAAGCAGGTCAGAGCACATGGAGCAGCCCCGCCGGGAGTGATGGGAGGGAGGGGACAGAGCTGGGGCCGGTGGGGCTCAGGAGCTCCGATGGAGACAGACCCAGGCGCTGTGTTGGGTCACGGGGTGTGTGAAGAGCCTGTGTTTTGGGGGCCCAGAGAAGGGAATTGCCATGCTGTGCCGTGCCACGCTCCGTACCGTGCCGGGGGAGGTGTGGGCATCCAGAGCGGCCAAATGTGGGCATCAAAAGCACCATGGGGGCTGTGCCGAGCAGTGATGGGGTGATGGGGGGGCTGCAGGGACGGGTCCCTGTGCCGCGCTCCCGCCGCTCACTCGGGGCTCCTCAAGTGCCGTCTGGCAGCTCTCCCAGCACTGTCCATGGCTCCTGTGCTGCTGCCACAGCCCCTGCCCTCAGTCAGGGATCCCAGACCGTCAGTCCATGCTGCCCCAGCAGCTCCAGTGGCTGGGAAGGGCCAAGGGCACTGGAGATGCATGTGCCCACACCAGGACAGCGCCCATCCATCCTGTTGCTGCTGGGCAAGAAGGGAGTTGCAGCTCAGGGTCACTGTCCTGGCTGCAGCCCCTTGAGTACAAAGGGGGTCCCCAGCACCAGGGATGGGGTTTGACACCGGGCCATCTCCTGCACGTGTGTGTCTCCTGCTTTGGGGTGCTGTGGTGTGGGCACCAACTGGAGAGCGGTGGCCAAACCTGCCCACCCTCCACTCCCCTCTGTGGCTGCAGCAGCTGCTTGCCACGGCCAGGGGTGCCCGGTACTTTTGGAGGAGACCAGGAGGTGTCCCCTTCCCCAAGGGCAGTGGCCCCACTGGGAAAGCCATGACTGCTCCTGCTACACTGAGGTGGCAGGCCCTGGCAGGCTCCCAGATGCTGAGGTGGGCACCCAGGTGTCCTGGGCTTTGAGGAGCTCTCACCAGTGGCTCCACAGTGGTGGAGGGTGGTCAGGAATCAGCACAGCATGGGGAGCACTGACTGCTGCATTTTTGGGATATGTCAGACAGCCACCACTGCTCCCTGCCCCTTGTTAAACCAACACCGAGTTTCCCCTCTTGTGGCAGCCCCAGAGAGGCTGGAATATTTGAGCTGCTCATTCCTCTTTCCCTGTCATCAGCACCTCTTCCCTACCCATGGGACCCCCGCCCAGCCCACCCTTCCACACAGGGATTTTGGAGACAAAATCCTCCTCTCCAGGCCGGGGTCCCACAGAGACTGTTTTCCACCGCCTCTGACCAGTGGAAATCCTCAGTGCTCCTGGTTAACCTGCAGGCAGCAATGGGGGTGGGCCAGCAGGCCCCTCTGTAGGGTGCAGGGACAGGCACTGGTTTGAGCTGGGGCAGGCTTGAAGGCATGGGGACTGCCAGGGGCCCTGGGGGAGCCTCAAGTAGAGGGGAGTCCAGGGGAATGGCTGCTGCCCCCTCCTCATCCTCATCCTCCTCCAGAACAGAAGAGCACAGGCAGGAGAGGATGTAACAAAAATAGCGTCTCTGTGGAATTTATTGAATTCTCCTTAAATACAGCCACAGCTCCCCTCCACACCCGGGCTCCCGCCTTGAACGGAATGGTTAAAAATAGAAAAGCTGGTGCTACCCAAACCCTACCGTAGGAGGGAGGGAGGAGAGGTGGGCAGGGGGTCAGTGCTGGGACGGTGCCCCCGCGCTCCAGGCTCGCCGGGCACCGCGGTCACAGGAACCAGAAGCATTTGCGCCGCGATTTCTTCACGTCCAACTTCACCGGCAGCTTTGGCGCCGGTGCCAGCTCCTGCCGGGGCGGTGAGGTGGTGCCCGCCGCCCCCACGGCCGTCGGGGGGGGGCTCGGCCCGGCGTGGCCCTCGATGTGGCTCAGCACCCGCTGGAAGCGGCCCTCCTGCTGCCGGAAATCGTGCTCCACGCTGCGCCAGCGGGGCGAGGGGACGGCGTCAGAGGGGATCACCCCAGCTTCCACAGTCCCCCCACCCGCCACGGCCCCCCAGCGTGCAGCAGCCCCCCATTTGCCTCAGAGCTGTGCCCTGCTGCCCACCTGCCCCTGGCACCCCAAACACGGCCCTTGGGGGGCTCAGCGTCCCCCAACACAGCCCTTGGGGAGCTCAGATCTCCCCAAAAGTCCCCAGGGAACTCATCTGCCGAGGGCATGTCCGCCAGAGCTGAGCCCCCTTGCATTCTGGGGCAGTACAGGGGCACGGCCAGACTTCCCAGGGTCACTGCGCACCCCTGTGAGGGGATGTCCTGCTGCATGTGCCTTCAGACAGCCCCTGCCCACCACACTCACCCCTGTGGGCTGTGAGGGGGGGTCTGGGCCCAGGTCCTTCCCAAACAGCCACCCCATCCTTCCTGCAGCCATGGGGTCCGTGCCCAGCATGTGGCACCTCATGGCTGTGCCAGAGCATCCCAGGCTACCTTCTGCCAGAGGGACAGACCTGTATCAGCCTGACTTGGTGGCAGGGGGGTCTTTTGGGGTGGATCCCCCTCAGCTGCCCACCTGCCACCATCCTGCTCCTCCGTCCTCGGTATCCAGCCTGGTGCTGATGTGGGGGGGCGAGCCTGGGCTCTGTGGGACCCCCGTTAGCAATGAGTCCCCTGGAGAGGGGCTGCATGTCCCTGGGGCCAGGGCCCAGGGCAGCTTCGGCATCAGGAGGTGGCATGAGCATGCAAGGGCTCTGCTGCTGCTTGTCACACGGCTGTCGTGGCAGGAATTAGGGTGTCCCAGGTCTGGGTGGGTGAGGGGGCCTGTGCCCCCCACCACAGCCCTCAGGTTTCCTTGTGGTGCTGGAGCCCTCAGTGTCCCCACAGCCCCCAATGCCCCCCAGCCCTGGCTGTGCCCCCAGCCCTGGCTGTGCCCCCCAGCCCTGGCTGTCCTCACAGCCCCTGGTATCACCACAGCTCCCAGTGTTCCCTCAGGCCTTGATATCCCTCCAGCCTTCTCTGTCTCTGCAGCCCCTGCTGTCCCCACTGCCCTCCATGTCCCTCCAGCCCCAGTGTCCCCAGAGCCCCCGGTGTCCCTGCAGCACCCTGTGGTGCGGGCTGGCTGCTGGCAGCCACGTGCCACGATGTTCCCTCCCAGGGAAAACATGTCAGTCTCCTCACACCAGCCATGTCCCATCGGATCAACGAGGTGCTGCGGCGTGTGCTGGCACCACACGTGGCAGAGCACACGGGGAGAGCCCCAGGAGCCCCCCGGCACTCTAACACCTCCCATCACCTCCTGTCACCTCCCCTTGCGAGGACACGGAGGGTCCTCAGCCATTTCCAGGAAAAAATGGCAAGGGGTGCCAGTGGCCCCAGAGCAGGGGGCAGCACAGGGAGGGACCTTGACTCCCCAGCACCGACACAGGAAAGGGTCAGCACTTCTGGGGGGGTGCTCAGCTGGTGCATTGCCCTGAGGTGGGACAGGGGCAGGCAGATCTGACCCCGCCACGGGCCATCCCTGGGGTCTGGTGCCAGAGGTGCTCCCCCTACTCCCCCACCCCGTGTCCCACCAGAGCCTCTCCTCATCCCACGGGCAGCAGCAAAGCCCACGGTGAGTCCCCAGCGAGAGCCTGGCCATTCCAGGGATCCACCTCCCCCATATGTGACATCTGTGGCACTGCCATGCCACGTGGAGACAGGCTCGTCAGGCCCAATTAGCGCTGAAGCCCCCCATGAGCTACAGCAGGGGAGTGCGGGAAGAGCGTGGAGAGCAAGAACGCTGGGGCAGCACCACTGGGCACAGGGGCACGAGGGGTCTGGAGACAGGCACCCCCAGCCCTGGGGTGCACCAGGGAAGGGGCACAGTGCTCACAAAGCACAGCAGGGCTGTGGCACACTCGTGCACCACAGAGCAGGGCTTGGGAGCAGCTCTGTGCACCACATCCCACCCATCCCAGCGCCCAGAGTCAGCCTAATTAACAGCAAAAGCAGAACACACCTGGCCATCCACCCACACTGCAGAGGGGACAGCCAGAAGGACACAAAGGGGTGCCTGGAAGGGCAGAAGGCTTGGGCAAATTCCCAATTCCTCCGGGAATGGGGCCTGAGAGAGCAGGGAGGGCATGAGATGCCTTTCCCCACAGACCAAATGGGCTCTGAGGAGAGAGGGCAGCAGAGGATGGGGATTCCACACCCCAATCCAAAGCCAGCACTGGGAAGCAGAGACAAAGACCCTGTGTTCCCAAACAGCAGCGAGGGGCAGGAATCCATCTGCAGCATCTGTGTGGAGCTGGCACAGAGACAACGGGATGCAGCCTGGACTCGAGTGAGCCCACGCACCAGCCGCTGGTGAGGCTTCCCCAGTAGATTGCCATTACAGGAGATAAATGCTCTGCCATCCTGCCAGAGCAGTCTCCTTCCAGCTGCTGCTCCTCCATGGAGATCACCCTTGCTGCTCCCCACAGGGATAAAGGGACAGATCCAGACCGAGTGACAGCCAAGACACCCAAGGGTGCTCCGTACATGGTGCCCCCCAACGCCGGGACAGGGGTGCAGGCTCACAGACCCCCCTCTCTCGCCTCACAGAGGAGTCAGGGGGTGCAGGGGAGCAGGACCCCCAGGAGCACACGGAGCCAGGGCTGCCCTCACCTGTAGATGATACAGGCACAGTCGCGGCAGGTCCCGCAGTTGGCGATGTCCTGCCCGGTCCGGTACGAGTGTCGCCTGTGACAGAGATGTGCCATGAGCCCAGAGACCCGGCCTGGGTCTGCCCGTGCCCCCCGCTGCCCCCAGCCCCTCATCTGCCTCTGAGCTCCTACCCCAGGAGCCAGGATCCCTGGATCCCAGTCCCTCTCCTCCCACGCGATCCCATTTAATGCCAGGCCAAGCACGGTTCCTCTCAGCTTCACAGATTTCTCTGATGGGAACAAACCAGAGCCGGGCCCAGCAGCAGTCCCAAACCCTTCCCGCTGTCTGTGCCCTCCCATTCCCATCCCCATCTTCATCCCAGGGGTCCCCACGCCCGCAGCCCCCAGGTGACCACCCGTGTCCCCACACACAGTGCCACAGGGGGAGGGCTATGTCTGTGCTGGAGCACAGGCACACGGCAGTGCCCTGGCAGATGGGCACAGGAGATGCTCCAGACTCATCTCCAGCCTACGCTAGACTTGGAATTTATCTCTTCTTGATGCTTTTGTACCAGAGCATCCTCCTCCCCCTCCGGGAAGGTGCACAGGACTCGGATTAAGCTGATGCGTGCCCAAGCTCAGCTCATGCTGCCACATCCTCCTGCCGCTCCACAGGAGGAGTCTGCACCCTCCATGTCTCTGCTGCTGGTGCCAGACCCCATCTCCGAGGCACCCTAATCCCAGGGGCTGTGCCGGGGACCCCCTGCACCCCAGCACTGCTGGTGGGTGCTTCCTGCTGGTCCCTGGCTCCCTCTGCTCTCAGAGCTGTAAGAAATGGCCCCTGTGAAATGTTGTTGGTCCCCTTGGGACCCCATCTCTGTGTCTCCATTGCCCCCTCAGGGCTGTGGAAGGGGGGGCAGCTGAGAGAACACCCTCATGTCCCACATAGATGTCACATTTTCCCATTGAAATCTTCCTCCTGTTACTTGACCTTGACCACGGTTGTTCTCAGCCCTCAGAAACTGGGTCTGTTAATGCACCAAATTATACATTGCAATGGGGATTATTCTATCAGCACCCAAATTAGATCCTGAGACCTTTTATATATATATGGTACGTATGTGTGTGTGTGCCTGCGGCTCTGACGTTTACAACAGCACCTCTCTGCTGGGAGAGCTCACCCTGGGATGGTGTTCAGTGTTTAAATATATATGGTATGTATGTGTGTGTGTGCCCATGGGCACCTTTGCCAGGACGGTTCACTCTGGGGTGGTGTTTGGTGCAGGATGTTGCCAGCAGCTGATGCCTGGACTTGGCCAGGACGTGTCAGGGCTGGTGGCCCCACTCTAGTGCACAGTAGGCACCTGGGATCTGACCCGTAGCAAATGAGGCCATGCTGTTCCACAGCATAAGGACACCAGGATAACGTTTTATGTGATTTCCTGTCCCGTTCCATGTGTCTCTGGGTACCTTGTTTGCTCACTTCACTGTAACAGTACATGGAGCCAAGGCCTTAATTAAGCTGTCCTGGCTGCCCCTGCCTCAGTGGGTGCCAGACTGAGACCCCCAGGGGTCCCTCCCCACTGGCAGTGCTCCAGGGGTGGCACGGAGATGGCATTCCCTGCACTTCACTCACACCCAACACTGGCTTAATCTGATTGAACAAACGGATCTCTGTGCTGCCCCAGTGGGAGCTGACAATCTTGGGCATCAGGAATAAGCCCCAGAGGTTTTACAGGAGGGTGCCGGGACTGGCACCTCCTGGGAGGTTGGTTGCCCTTGTGTGAGATGAGTTTGGAGGGTCTCAGCTGGGGACCATCATGGACTGACCACCTTGAGCCATTTGGCAAATCTGCCTGGGAGGCCAAGAAATGCTGGCCTGGGGGGAGACCTTGCCCAAGAGAGCAGATCCTGGGCAGGCCAGATGGGGGTGCTGGGCACCTCCCCTGGACACAGACACACCCATCATGAGGGCACCAGCCACTGGATTTGTGCTGAAGGTACCTCCATGGAGGGGCTGGAAGTAGGTGAGAGCTCAGGGTGGCTGCACATGTGGCATGGCAAGGACATGGTCCCCCGCTGAGCCAGCCGTTGGGATGTGACATCCCAGATCCCCGTTCCCAGCGACCAATGGGCAAGTCAGCTGCACCGGATCTGGGCAGGGTCCAGCATCCCCTCGTCCCCCAGGCCTGCACCCCCTGCACCCATCCTTGGGCACGGGGAGGGCCCCGCAGGCGTGAGCAGAACACGCTGGGGAGGGCGAAACCTCGCACTGAGACACGGAGCCGTGTGTGCGTGGACAGCAGCTCTGAGTTTCTCAGAGGGAAACATGTCCAGGAGGCAGCAGCACCCAAATCTGGCAACGTCCCCTGTTCTCCATCCCCGGCCCCCAAGGGACATTGTCTCCCTGGCCCCTCACTCCATCCCCGCCTGCTCACCCGTCCCGCTGCGCCTCCTTCTTCTCCAGGTCCTGGATGACGTCCAGCAGCACCCGGATGGTTTGTTGGCTGGTCTCCAGCACCCCTTCCAGGGACTGCAGCTGGGAATGCAGGTCTCCCTGCTCCCCGGGCCGCCAGGGGCCCTCTCCCTGAGTTGTCTGGGCGTCCTCGTCCCTCGCTGGTGGTCCCACTGGTCCCTTGGCCACCACCACCAGCTGCAGTAGGTCCTGGACATGGTGCAGTGTCTCCGGTTGCTCAGCAGCGAGGCAGGGCTGCCCATGCTGGGGGGGCTCTGGTGCCCACCCTGCTGTTTGTGTCCCCATGCTGGGGCCCTGTGGGACTGGGGGCAGCAGCTCCCTGTGTCCCTCGGGTCCTGCCCGGCCATGCCCGGGCTCAGCAGCGTGGAGCCGGCTGCAGGTGCTGAGCACAGCTGGTGTCTTCTCCGGTGCAGCAGCAGCAGCAGCAGAGCTGTGCCAGCCCGGCACTGGTGGGATGGGGGCTGGCGAGGCGCAGCAGGGCCCCCCCCATGGCGACCCGCAGAGCTGGTGGTGGGGTGGAGGGGGGTCCCGGGGGGGGTTGCCCTGAGGTGGCTGGCGGAGGCCATGGGTGTCCGTGGCGGGGCCGGGCTGCCGGCGGTGCGGGGAGGGCTGGGATGGTGGGCGGCCGCAGGGCAGGGTCCGCTCTGAGTCGCTCCGGCCAAGCCCCCGGTGCTCAGCGGGAGGTCGGGGCTGGCCACAGGGTACGGAGGCCGGGCGTGGGGTGACCCCGTGGCCACCTCGTGGGCTCCCGCGGAGCTGGGCACAGGCGGGGGGCGGCGGGCAGGGCTCAGGGGCGCAGCGGGCAGCAGGGCACCCGGCTGTGCCGCGGTAAGGGGGAGGGGGGTCCCTGGGCGGTGGCAGTGGTAGGGGGCACACCGTGGCGTGCTGGGCGAGAGCCACGGTGCGGTCATGTGTGGGGAGGTTGCCAGGGGCCCGCGGGGGCACAGCCCAGCTGGTCGTGGTGGGCACGGCCACCCCAGGGCACCGGGCACTCGCCACAGTGGGCAGTACCGCATCCCCTGCCACATCGCAGACACTCCTGCTGCGGGGCTGGGGAGCTGGGAAGGGCTTCTGGAGGCTGGGGGAGGTCTGGATGGCCGTGCTCATGCACGCCTTCCTGGGCATGGGCAGCGTCAGCGAGCCCGGCTGTGCCTGGGGCCAGCTGCGCCGCGAGGCACGGAGAGCCGCCGGCTCAGGGGCATCCCTGGGGGGCGGCGAGGCACGTGGGGTGTTGGGGCCGGGGGTGGCCGCGGGCCCGGGCGGGGGGCTGCCCGCCTGCCCTGAGCCGCCCTCCACCAGGTCCTTGAAGCGGACCTGCTGCGTGCGGTTGCGCCGGCGCTTGAGGCGGCTCTCGATGTCGGGCGAGTCGCGGTTGAGCAGCACCGAGCGCACCGTCATGGCTTTCTCCTGGCTGCCCTCGCCGGCGGGGGCCGGGCCAGGCACGGGCTCACGGCTGACCATGGCTCGGGGCCGGGGGGCTGCGGGGGGGCGCGGGGGGCCGAGCGCCGACGGTCGGAGCCCTGGGCTACACCCGTCCCCAGAGCTGTCGGAGCAGCGGGCAGCCTCATCCCGCGCTGCCACAGAGAGGGGATGCTGGGCGGGAGGCGGGCGAGGGGCCGCGGGGCATGCTGCCCACTGCCCGGCCCTACAGCCCCCGGCACGCCGCCCCGACAGCCCTGCCCGGCACCGCAGCTCCCCGCCGGCGCCCGCAGCCCATCGTCCCGCGGCGGCTGCCCGGGCTCAGGGCCGCCCGCATTGGGCCCGGTGCCGGCCGTGCCTGCCCGTGGCTCCTGGGCTCTGGACCTGCGGGGACAGAGAGAGGTGCGTCAGCCCTGGCCACACCACCACAGCCCCCGAGGACACGAGTGTCCCTGCAGAGCCGCCAGCCTCTCCCGCCTCAGCTCCCTCCCAGCCCGCCATCACCAAACGCGAAGAGACAGACTTTGATCTGCGGCGCTGCCTCCTCAGCACAAAGGGAGAAGGGAAAAGAAACCCCTTTAGCATAAACACGTTCCGAGTTCACAGCTCAAATCAAGCAGAAGCAGCTGTTAAAAATAGCTCTGCCTCGCCGGGGCTGGTGCCTCGTGCGTGGGGCGGCAGTGGGAGGGCAGGCACAGGACAGGGTGGGGGGCACGGGGCTCCCGTGAGGGACAGACAGACACAGGGCACCTACTGCACGTGGGACACCCGCCACACACAGGCACCGGCTCTGCATGGGCTGGAAAGGGCGTGGGGCACCTATCCAGCATGCGACGTGGCTGGAGTGGGCATGGGGCATCCTGCACTGGGCTTGGCCAGATTGGCAGAGGGGACCCGTCGTGTGTGGGGCGTGGCCAGATGGGCGCAGGGACCTGTCACATGTGGAGCATGGCCAGATGGGCACCGGTGGTGCTGGCTGGGCTGCAGATGTGGGGGGCCAGCTCCGTGGGCAGGGGTGAGACTGTGGCTCGGGGAAACTGAGCCACTTCAGGCATTTGAGAATCAGCAGGAGCAAAAACCTTCAGTGAGACTGTGGAATATCCCCGACACCAGCATTGCTTCCCAGGCAGCACAGGGTCAGGACCTGGGGGCACAGCAGGTTTGCACCCAGCCATATCCCCATCCCTGCCATCCTTCCTGCACAGCTTTGCAGGGCTCCTCCTCCACACACCTGCCAAGCAAACCCCTTCGCAGCCCCACCCGGATGTACCCCCAGCGCCCAGCCCCATGCCCAGCTGGCTCTGCCTCTGCCCACTGGGTCGCCTGCAGCTGCCCCAGCCCATCACACTGCCTGGGCACATGGAGCACAGGGCACACTGGGAGCCCCGCTGGGATGTCCCAGGGTGCAGGGGAGGCCGAGGGCTAATTTCAGGACACAATGACAGGGAGAGGGTGGGAGAGACAGAAATGTCAGCCCTGGTGCACAGTAGTTCAGCCTCACCACACCACGCCATGTCCCATGTCCTACATCCCTCTGGTCCCCAGCCCAGACCACAGGCTGCTGCTCCCCCAGGGCCCCCACGCCCTCTCAGCACAATAAGGCAGGAGCCTCGCTGGCTCCACAGCCCCTCTGTCCTCACTGCCGGTGGACACACGGCACAGCCACCCCTTGGGCCCCTCCCTGCCTTGCCTTGTTCCTGCTGGCACAAAGCGCTGACTCAGCACAGCAGCCCGGAGTCCCCAGCGCTGGAACAACCAAACTTCCGAGTGCTGCACGTGCCAGTGCCCAGTGCCTCCCCAAGCCCACAGTGAGCACTGACCCAGCAGAGCAGGGAGCTCACGCAGCCCTCCTTGCCCCCACCCCGGCCCTGCATGCCCCAGTGCCTCTGCACACCCCGCCCCGCACTCGTCGGGATGCTGCTCCACACGCTGCCCGGCCGCCCGGCGCTTCCCTTCCCGAGCTTGGAGCCGTGCCCAGACACCCGGAGACGTCTGTGAGGCAGGACGCGACGAGGGATGGGACGGGGCTCTTCGTTAGTATGGGCAGCGTCAGGCAGAGGAGTGAGCTGGCCGGGGCCGGAGCCGGTGGCACCCGTCTCGTGTCCCGCGTTGCCACAGCCCTGCCTGGCCCAGGGCCCGGGCACCCACTCCATGGCCATGGTGTGAGCCACCCCCTGAGGCCCTGCCTGCAGGGTCACCTCTCCCCCTTGTGCCATAGAGGGGGCCCATGCCCTGGGCCAGGTGTCCCATGCCCAGGTCCCTGGCAGCATCCTCAGCTGCGGCTGTGCCAGGGAGGGCAACACGCCGAGGGCAGAGGGGCCCAGTGGGCACATCTCTGTGCCAGAGCCGAGCACTCCAGAGGGCAGCCTGCATGTGGTCAGCCTGCTTCAGAGGGTTCCTTAGTGGGAGCACTAACCAGCACAGGGCAGAGGGTGCTGGGAATGGCTCCAAGGGCCGAGCACAGGGCAGGAGCACCACTGGCACGGTCCGAACCTGGCCCAGCCCCGTGATCCTGCGGCGGGCACCTCGCCGAGCCACGGCTGACGCAGCGTGGGACGAGGCTGATCCCCCGCCGACGCTGCTGGGAGATCAGAGACAAGGCACAAGGACAAAGGGAAGCCTATAAATTATACATGGAGCAACTCCATTTGGGAACAGCTCCGAGGATGTCAACCACCCACGCCAGGACCCTCCCACACGTCCCTGCGTTTGCTCTGTGCTGTGGTTGGATTTAGTGCGGCGCTCGGGCACTGTTTGCAGACACCGGTGTCTGCATGGATAACGAGCCCCCTGTAACCTGGGTCTGCCCCCTCTAATGGGACCCCCCCAGACTGTCGCTGAATCCGAGGAACCCCCTGTGCTGATGGGCCCCAGGACACCTTGGATGCACCCGGCACCCAGCTGCACTGGTGCTTCCCAGCTCCTCGTCAAGCTTCATATACGGGGAAATGGTGCTCAACGCCCCAATCCTGGGGTCCACCGGAGCCCCCCAAGGTCCAAAGCCCACCACAGCTCCTTCCAGGGTCCAGTCCAAGAGGGCCCCAAGGCTGTGGTCACTCCTCTCCGGAAGAGACCTGTGAGAGCCCCCGAGACCAAAGCCAGAGCCCCGGTGCTCCGCTCCCGTGTGCCCCGCTGGGCTCTGTGTCTGTGGGACAGGGGGTGTTGGGCACCCTCTGGGGTGGTCAGTGGAGAGCGACCCTGGGAGAGCCCAGTGCAAGGGATGGGGAGAAGCAGAGCCCTGGCATGGGGGTCCAGGGAATGTGGGTGGGCTGGCACTGGCCAGGGAATGGGCTCAGGGCTTGACTGATCCCCTCTGAAGGACGGCAGCGTGTGCCAGCCACGCCACTCAGTGCGGGGCTGCAGAGAGCACGGCTCATCAAACCCATTTGCTGCTGGGCTTGATGAGGTTCCAAGTTTGGTCAGTGGAGGTAAAAGCCTTGGCGGAGCAGACTCGGATTTCTGTGAGGCATTTGACATTTCGACGAAGAAAGCAGGATAATCCCAAAGCAATGTGACACACGTTAAATGGATTAAAACCAGCTAACCAGCACATCTCCACTTGTAACCATCCCACAACCATCACCCATAGCTGGACTCTGCCCCACTGCCACAGAGGGGCATCAGCCCAGGGCACTGTTTGGTCCTGACCACAGAGGGAAACTGAGGAAATGGGAGAAAATGAAGTGCAAGGAAGAAAAAAGGCCAACACAGAGGCAGGCGATAGGCGTGGGGCCGAGGCTGCTTAGGATGGGGCTCTGGGCAGCGGTTCCAGGCTGTGCTCATGGCAGCTGGAAACACGGGTTGACGAGCTGGAGGAGTAACTTCCTTAAAAAGTGAGGCCAGCTGGTGCAGGAGCAGCTTGGAAAGGGAGGATCCTCCATCTCAGCAATTTTTTAGATCTGAGTGGTTTTTCTCCTCTGGTTCCTGTGGCAATTCCAGGCTCATGGATAAGGTGGGACAGCAGGTCACATTGATGGTGTACAGGTAAAACCAGGTGATTCTCCTGTAATGCAACAGAGGACATGAGTCCTGCAGCAGCGGGTTGCACTGGATGCTCAGCACAGCTGGGAAGGATGTCTGCTCCACTGAGCCCAGGAGCTGAGGAAGTGTTGGGAACCTCTTCCCATGGACACCACTGACCAGCGCCCGCAAAGATCGAGTACCCTCCTAGTGAGCAGCACCAGGGCTCCGAATCATGTGCCAGCCCAGCTCCCTCCCCAGCCCAGAGCCCTTTGCCGCGAACACGCCGTGCCATGTCGGATGGTGGGATGCTGCACCTCATCCTGCGTCACCTGCCCACCAGCCTGCAAAGGGCTTGGGAATCTCCCCTGGGAGAGCCCCAGCACTGGGTTCCTCTGGCCAGCACTGACTGATGGGGAATTTTGTGAGTGAGAGGCACCAAACCTGCCGGGTTTGCATTGTGGGACTCACCTCGCATGGTGCATGGCTGCCCTCAGAGGACAGAGCCCTGCTTCACACTGCTCTGTACAGAAAGTTATCTGCCAGCTTTGGCCCTTTCCCCACCCATCCTCCTCCTCGTCCTCCTAGTAATGCCTGTGGCAGAGGGAAAACCGGAACAGACACATAAATCTTCTCAGGATGCAAGAGGACGGGAGATGAGATTTATGAGGGAGGAAGTCAGATTCTCCTGGAACTGCAGAGGAGAGCAGCAAATGACCCGGCTCCACTCATGAGGTAACAGATTCTGTGGGGCAACACTTCTGATTTTTCTGATCTCCAGAGAAGAGAGAGGTGCTGCTGGCAATGGAGAGGGTCAGCACTGGAGGATGAGGCACTGGAGGGGCATAAGCCAGGCTTGTGACACATCACTCCACAGCAGAGTCTAATCCTGCCTTGGCTCTGGGAGGACTCGAGGCGTTTGTACTCAGATCAGAGCATCTCTGGGACTCAAGGAAGGAGGACTCAGAGCAGCTCCTCAGGCAACTTGCACACCCAAAATCCAGTTCCTCGCTGAGGAAGCTCCACCACGAAGGCAGCTCATGCCCTGCCCTCACGGTTCTCTTGGAGGCTCTTCCAGAACCCAGCTGCTCAGAGCCTCACAGACCTTCTCATTTCCTGCAGGCACGTTTATATCCGACTGTACTTGTGCCAATGGAGCGCTTCCGCTCGAGCAGCTCTTCTCCCTCCTCAGCACTCAGCCCTTGTGGTCCCCAGTGAGGAAACGTCCCTTCTTCAGCCACAGTCCCAGTGCTCTGTGGGTCCAGCTCTGTTCACGTCCCCAAGCCCAGCTCCTCATGTCCCCAGTGGTCCTCACAGCACCTGATCCCTCCCTCCAGGCAGCACTCAGGGCGCTGCTCAAACACCACTGGGGCTCCCCCAGGACCCCTGGGCTGGCCTGACCGAAGGCACAGGCACCGTCCCTGTCACCGTGGCCGTGCCCAGGGTGCCTGTGCCCTACAGCCCCCCAGCCCCCACAGAGCATTGCCCAGGGGTTCCAGAAGTGGCACTGGCACACGGGTCCTGGCACGAGTGGCAGCTCGCATGAGCCGAGGGATCCGCACTCATCCCTATGTAGGTCACTGGCTGAAGTGCTCTGCGGGAACATTAGTCACTCTCCCAGCCACGGGGCCCAGGAGAAGGCTCTGGAGCCCAGCCAGGGCGGGGGGTCTCCGCCACTCATCTTCCCACAGGGCAGCACCCACGAGCACCCTGCAGGCTCCTCTCTGAGGCCACGGGGGCTCCTGGGTGCCCTGGTCACACACACCATGGCTCATGCCCACAGAAGAGGTCCCATTGGTTGGGAAGGAGCAGCGACAGCCTCCTGGCACACAGAGGTCACCAGCTCTCCTTCCATTGCTCCCCTCCACCTGCAGATGTGCTGCTGCTGCAGATGGAGGATGCACACGGTCAGGAAGAGGGGAGTACAAAGCCTCTACGTGAGCCTTCAGAAGCTGCAGAAGCCAAATTATTCCTCTGTCTCCTGTGGATGCTAATATGGCTGTCATGGCAGTGGCGTCTCTGTTCCCTCCACTACCTGCTGGCATTCCCACCTCTGCCAAGCAGAGGAGCATCGGTATCACTGTTTTAATGAGACATGAAGAGGTAGAGTGACCTGCCTGGGCGAGCACGGGCAGAGCGGGGCAGACAGCCCATGTGGAGCAGGAGCACCTCAGGAGGAGTTTGTTCCATATCCCAGGGCTTCCCTCAGCCACCTCCATGGAGGAGCAAGAGAACATCCCTGGAGCTGCTGCCAGCACTGCAGTTCAGTGCCGCTCCTTGGGGCTGCAGGAGAGACCACCCTGGGAGGAAGAACACCCAGCAAATGTGGTGTGAGCAATACCATGCTCCTCTGAGCCCCGGAAATGCTCTGCGTGTCTACAGGGATCTGGGAAGATGTTTGTCACAGAGATCCAGCCCAGAGAGCTCAATCCAGCCCAGAGAGCACAACCAAAGCCCAGGGCTCTGCCAGCACCTCTGGCCCAGGATGATCCTGAGCAAATGACAGGACCAGGCAAGCGAGACACAGCTCATCAGCAGACCCCACAGCCCCGTGCTCTCCAGGGAGGGTGTCTCACCTTTCCAGAAGGGGCTTGGGCGCCCATCTGGAGCCCACCCTCCCCAGCGTGCAGAGCAGCCAGCCAGGCCGGAGGGCCCTGTCAGACCAGGACTCCAGGGGCTTCCTCTCATGCCAGAAATGGCATCAGAAAGCCACAAGCTTTCCCCAGAGCACAGTTATGGAAAAAGCTGGAAAGGCTTCACCACCCAGCTGTTCCCACACCACCCCGGCCACCCCTGCACACACTGATCTGGGCTTAGGGGGCTCAGCAGGATC